GAAAGTGAGAAAGTGAAGAGAAAGAGAGAGAGAGAGAGAGAATTGTGAGTTTGTCACGTGAATGGACGAAAGAGAGGGAGAGGGAAAGTGGGCCGTGGGACAAGGTTGTAAGGGTGGGCCCCCAAGTGGCTCACCAATTAAGACCCAAAAGTAACCATTTCAAAGTATCTAGCCCAACAAGGAGAAATTACCAAAATGCCCTTATGTTCCAAAATCTGTAAAATGATTCGGGACGGGTTGTTACGCATCATGTGCTACACTGGTGTTTGTACTTGCCCAGGTCAGGGCCAAGCTTCACGTGTATGTACACTCACTTTGTCTTATAGGCAATTATGACTCGTATGTGATGCACATAGCGCCAGTCTTCACGTGATTATAGTACTAGAGATTAAATTATTATTACGCACAATCATGGTCATGTCAGAATATCTCTGCATGAACTCATGTGTCAGCATATGTCGATGATCATTCGATTTGATATTCGTTTATGCGAGTTGTTATGATTACCGGATTATTATGTGTTTATTTATGAGATATTGTGAAATGTTGTATGCTTATGATATTATGGTTTATGGTAAGTATTTGGGTAAAGTACAAAAAACTACCTCAACTATTGGTGTCACGACAATTTCATACCTCATCTTTTTAAAATGACAATGTCATACCTCATCTTACGAATTTGTGCCAATATCATACATCCGTCAGTTTTTCTGTTAATTTTTCTGTTAAGTGATAAAGTGGCTAGATACTAGGGCCACTCACTAATCCAATTGGATTAAAATATAATTAAATATATTTTTTAATAATTAAAAATTAAAAAATTAAAAATAAAATTTATATTAAATCTCTCTCTCCTCTCTCTCTCCCCCATCTTTCTCTCCTCTCTCTCTTCTCTGCATCCCCAAAATCCCTTCCCACCTGACCCCCCACCCCTTCTCACCCATCCCCCTAACCCTCTCTCTCTGGACACCCACCCGCATCCCTCAAACCCTTCCCACCCGTCCCCCCGAACCTTCCTCCCCCTCACCCTTTCTTCCCCTCGCTCCCCGTCTTCCCCAAACTCAAAACCAAAACCACCCAACCCAGATCCCACCTCGCTCCAAACTCAAAACTAGAACCACCCAACCCAGATCCCACCCCGCTCCCGTCTTCCCCAAACGGTTTGGACCACACCCATTCACCCGCAATCTGTCTTCCCCATTCATCTGCTTCACCTTCACATCAGTGGGTATATAAACCCCATCTTCCAAAAACTCCTTCACATTGTAAATCGTACTCAGCGTCCGAAACGCACTGGGCACCAAAATTATGGGCACCCCTTCCACAACTTTACCTCATTTCAAGTGCAATTTGGGCTTCGTATTCGAGTTGTAGCCCGATTCATCTCCAAACCCAGTCAAGCCCCTCTCGTCAGAACCCATTAGCCTGCTATTAGCCACCAGCCCGTCTTTCCTCTGCTGCTACTCAATACGCTGCCGTTCCTCTTCCTTCTTCGTCGCTGAAGTCAAAACCGCGTAAAAGTTCCTGCCTTACACTCCAGCAAACCCTCGCCGTCCTTCAATGGCCTCTCGCTAGAGTAAATCAAAGACATGTAGTCCACCGGCGTCTCAATTGAGTGAAAACCCTAGAATCCAAAGCCGCGTAATCGCCGTTGTCATTGCTGATGTGGTTACTGTTGCTGGCGGAATCGAGGGCGGTAGGGATTTAGAGTGGTGTATGGTGTCGTTCTAGGGAGGGAGGATGAACTCGATGGAGTCGGAGGAAGAGATCTTTCTGGTGAGGTAGTCGAGGAGGATCTTACGGTCAGGGAAAATGACGGAGAGGATCCCCTGGGTGCGGGCGCACTGGATGTAGAGGTGGGAGACAGAGAGGTCGATGGGCTCTAAATGGAAGAGTTTTTGGAGGGAGAGGTTGCGCATAGAAGATGGGAGCGGGGGGAAGAAAGGGTGAAGGGGATGAAGGTTGGGGGGGACGGGTGGGAAGGGTGGGAAGGTTTTGGGGATGCAGGTGGGTGTCCAGAGAAAGAGGCAAGAGAGAGAGAGGGTGGATCCACAATTTTATATAAAAAATAATTTTATTATTAAAAAATATATTTAATTATATTTTAATCCAGTTGGATTAGTGAGTGGCCCCAGTATCTAGCCATGTCATCACTTAACAGAAAAATTAACAGAAAAACTGACGGATGTATGACATTAGCACAAATTCATAAGATGAGGTATGACATTGTCATTTTAAAAAGATGAGGTATGAAAGTGTTGTGACACCAATAGTTGAGGTAGTTTTTTGTACTTTACCCTAAGTATTTTCACACTATATGTATTATGTATATTTTGAAAACTATACTTATTTTACAATGAGGGGTTATTATGTTTTCGAAAAGGTTTTTACAAAGCTTATTTTTAGGCCCACTCACCTTTGTGTTTCTTCCCTTCAAGTTTTAGTAACTGAGCTTTCGTGTCGACGATTATTCTTGGCAAATCTTGGTATTGGAGATTACCTTCGATGGTATAATTCTCATTCTACTTTTACTATACTTTACTTATGCTCTGACATCACGTGTGAAATGGGTTCGTTCCCGCTCACAAGCACACTCTTACATTTAGGCACTTTTAGGTTTAAATTTATTCACATTTTCTACCTCTTTAAGATGTAAAGTAATAATATTTTGGCTTTTTAGCCAAAATAGTCCCTTATATTTGCATAACTCCTCACTTTGGTCCCTGAGATTTGAAATCAATACAAGTGGTCCCTGAGATTGTCCACCATCAATCATTTTGGTCCTTCCGTGAATAGTCATGTTAAATAAAGATTAAAATTATAAAACTACCCTCAATTTAATAAACAATAGACCAAAATGATTTGATAAAAATTAAAGATACTTTTGTCATTTTATTTTATTTAATGGAGATTTTTCACGGAATGACCAAAATGATTGATGATGGACAAACTGAATGACCAATTCTATCAATTTTAAACCTCAGAGACCAAGATAAGGAGTTATACAAATCTCAATGACCATTTTAGATAAAGCCAAAAAAAAATTGTTTCGAATAGTAAAGTGGACTTGAAGTTCAATTGAAAGTAAAGGTGGGCACTTGAAACCGAAACACGAACCCAATCGGACCGCACCAAACAGTTCAATTTTACGATTTTGAAACCGAACCGCATTGTAGGAAACGATTTGGTTTTGATTTTGGCTTTTGAAAACCATACCGAAACCGAAACTGCACCTCAAATTAGATGTAATATTTTAATTAGTTGTTTGTTAGAGTCCATACATTTAGTATGTATATGTCATAATAATGATAATTTTTTTCCAAGTTATATCCCTCATGAAGTTTGGCATCTCAATGTTTCTTTACAGGAAAAGATGGAAATTTTATTACCAATAAAAGCACTTCAAAACCCTAATTTTCAAGTTCAGAATGACAACCTATATAATGGACTAATTAGAAGTGCAAACGAAAACTCAAAAAGAAACAATTAGCATCAAATAAAAGTAGTCACATAAGGAGAGATGCAAAGACCAAATATCTAATCAAGTAATAAGCCGCAACACTCCATTTGGGTGCTTTTTCCTGCTCACAGACTATCGTCTGTGCAATTAGCTAGCTAGAGTAAAGAAAAGAATTCTCATATGGGTTGGTTAAATAATGTATTGTGTGGAAAATGAGACGGTGTTATGTGTAGATAAGTATAAATTTTAAATTGTATATTTTTTCTCAAAAACTAAACCGAAACCGTTTGAAATCACACAGAACCAAACCAAACGCTTTGGCTTCATTTCTATTTTAGTTTCAAAACCGCACCGAACTGCACCGCAAAAAGTTACAATTTCGGTTGCGGTTTCACTCAAAATGCACCGAACCAAACCTTGCCCACCCTTAGTTGAAAGGCCATCTCAAAAAATAAGCCAAACCCAAAATAAAAACCAACAGGGGAATTACTAACACATTCCTAAGTACCAGTTTGGCACAGCTTAAATTATAAAAAAAAAAAAACTATGAAAAAAATTTTGGGGTGGAAAATGTGTTTGGTAAATGTAAAAATAAGGGCTTCTTTTCAAAGTTTCAGCCAAAATAAGCAGAAAAATGGAAGCAGCATTTTGCTGCTTCTCAAAACCTGCTTTTTTTTCAAAGTAGGTGGATAAACAGTAAAGTTTAATGAAACTGTCTTAAACCCAATTATAACCTCTTTCTCCTCGCAATCTCCATCCAGCGCATCAACGCCATGTCGTGGAAGAACGTCATAAGCTCCTTGGAAGTGGTCTCGAGTGTGCACGACGGTGGCTTATAGTTGTGGGAAGTGAAGGGGAGGGACGTCTCGATCGTGAGGGTGGTGGAGTCATGGCGGCGGATGAGATGGGACGGCAGAGAGATGGGGTGAGGGATAAGGCTTAGGTAAAGGGACTCAGGATATTGGAGTCGGAGGAGGAGGAACTGGGTTTCCCGACAGGTCCAAATACCCCAGAATCATCGCCGCACAGCTTTCCGGCAAATCGTCGAGACCGGGTTTCGATGGCAAAGATTCAATTGCATATAGGTTTTCCGATTTGAAGACAGATCCTCAAGGACGAGGTTGCCCACGTCAAAATCCCATAAAATTCACAATTCGTTTTCAGTTTTTGTTTAGTAGAACCTTGGGAGAGAGATGGAGATGGAGGAAGAGAGGGCGGCGGTGAGGTGGTGATGGAAGGTTAAGGGGGACACGGGTTTTGGGGGGGGGGCGGAGGACATGGCAAATCCCATAAATCCCATTTTTAAAAATTATATTTTTTTTAATCATTTAACATAGTCGCAACAGTTTTATATAAAGTTTATCAAACGCTTGAACAATGTTTTTTTTTTTTTTGTTAAAATCACTTTTACAATAAAAGTTTACTAAACACATAAATACTTTATTTTACAGCTACTTATTTTTACAGTACAGCATAAACAATTTTTTTTTAAAAGTAAAGAAATACTAAACTAGGCCAATGCCTAACTTCCATCCCACCACCATGTCACTCTCCAAGGTCCAAACCCTAGACTTGTGATTCTCCCCTAACAAATAAAATCACCCTTTGCCTCAATTACTCTGCATTTTCTCGCACTTCCCCTCGAAACCCCTCTCTTTTTCTCGGCTAAATCCCCCCTCTCAAACTCTTCCCGGCCGATTGGATCTGAGTATTTTTTATTAAAACTCTATCCAGTCCCATCAATCCGGAAGAGAGGCCTCCAATCCTCTGACCCTCCTCAAATTCTAAGGCTTTTGGATCTGAAAAGGCTAGGATTTTCTTGCTCAGTTCGCTAAAGTTTCGGTCTTTTGTTCAAATTTCTGGTTCTCGGATTAGGAGTCGTTATTTTGGAGGAAAATTGAAGGGTCTTGGGGAGGCATCGGAGAAAAGGCTGAGCTGCCAATGCCATTGTTGGTTTGGAAATTGGTGAATTTTTCGGTGATTTTTGAGAAACCGAAAAAGTTTGAGTTTTTGGAAGTGAGAAGAAGAAGCATCAATGTCTTGGGCAGGCCCAGAAGATGTCTACCTTTCCACTTCTCTTGCTAGCTACCTTGACAGTATGCTCTCCCTCTCTCTAATTTATACTTTTTTTTTTCTGGGGTTATAATTTCTCATTAGTTGTATGAAGTTGATGGTAATTCTTTCTAGTTTCTAGTTGTTTTTATTAATTGTGTTCTGACTGGCTGACATAGTTGAAAGATTTGTTCTTTTTACCATTTGGGTTTTTCTTCTGGTATTTGTTGCTTAAATTCAGATTGGTTTTACAGGTAGGGTCCTGCAGAAAAATTGTTTTCTTGTATTGAAGTATTGCTGTTTGAGTATTCCTTTAAATCCCGGTTTCAATGTCGATTTTGAGTTGAGTACTAGTGAAAAGATGCTGGAGTTTAGGACTGGTGGGTCAACCAATCATTTTTTCACTGTTGAGGTGTGGTGGTCTAATGCTATTATTCATGCTGCAGAGAAGCTTCTTGTGCTGCTCCGTGATGGTCGAAAACTTTTGGGGATACTTCGGTCTTTTGATCAATTCGGTACTAACATTATCTTCTCTGTTTTTTGAGGGCAAATTATTTTGTAAGTTTAATGAAGATTCTGAAGTAATAGTTATTTCTGATTTGTAGCCAATGCCGTTCTCGAGGGTGCATGTGAGAGAGTCATTGTTGGGGATCTTTACTGTGACATCCCCTTGGGTCTTTACGTCATCCGTGGGGAGAATGTTGTTCTAATTGGCGAGCTGGTATGGTACATTATTAGTTGCTTTGTCATCTATAACTCAAAATATGCATCATTGAATAATGTTTATATCTGCACTTGATGTTTTAGGATTCAGAAAGGGAGGAACTTCCACCACACATGACTCGCGTTTCAGCTGCAGAAATTAAAAGGGTAAGTGTTGCCAGCTCGATAATCTTTATAAATGGTGTGTTGATATAAACTACCTCACTCTCTTCCTTTTTCCTTATTATCTGCTTTGGTCTTCAATTGTTCAAGTTTATAGCTCTAGTGTTAAGGTATGTTTATGAAGTTGGAAAGCTGTATGGTTTTAAAACACTGGTTTTGACATAGATATTAAGAAGATTTGAGACTAAAATCCTCGATGAAAATTAGTAGGTGAATGGTGCAGTTTTGAAGCAAATAGTTGAGCACATTTAGGAAAGGACTTATGGGATGATTGAACCACTCGATTTAGTTGCGCCTTAAGCATTATGTTCTGAAGGTACGCATACTATGAGAGGCGGGTTAGTGCCACTTGTTCTATCTTTATTTATGTGCACATAAAAAGCAAAGATCATGCACATGCAGAAGTATGAGTGGAATCTCCAACTGTGCTAGACTAAGACTTGGTGACTATTACCCCAAATATTTTTTGTGAAGAGTTTCCGTTGGTAGGTGGAATTCTAAAGACCATTGAGGTCTAATCCCTTTTTTTCAAAATGATTTTTGGAAAAATGTTTCCCGCTTTCCTTTTTTTCCTTAATGTATTTGGAATCACTAATTGGTTCTAGGTCAACCAAAACTGGGGTCAAGCAAATTTTTGAACGTAGAGGCCGAATTTCTTGAACGGGTTGGTTCTTGCGTGAGTCTGAATTAGGGGGGCTTTCCAGATGGTGGGGCACTGCAATTGTGGCTTAATTTCTCTCAAGATTATATGTAAATTGAAAGACTGTCCTTTCGTTTTCGGTTGACATCTATGTCAATTTTTTGTGACAGTGTTTTTGGGATTTTTGGGTCTGCTTTGTTTGTTATATTTGGACGCACTTTGCTTTATTACTTGAACGGAAGCCTGTATTGATGATTAGCTTTGTAATTATGCAGGCACAGAAAGCAGAAAGAGAAGCTTCTGATCTTAAAGGTACAATGAGAAAAAGAATGGAGTTCCTGGATATGGATTAAACGAGTCGCTCGCCCGTCCGCAAATATTATAGCGGCTGCTATTCATTCTCTTCTTCTTCCTGTAGTTGGCCGATGTTCGTAGATGGTACATGTCAAATCTTCGAAAATTAGAATTTCAATCAACAGTTGTTCTAATTTCTGTCTGTAATATTTGGCTGAATTAGTACAAGTGTCCCTTTGCTTTAAAAGCTTCACCATTTTTTTGTGGATTCAAAAGTTCTAGGGAACCCGAATTTAGTTTGTTCATAGACCTTTTGACGAAACAAAGAAGATCAAAGAAGTCTACTGGACAGCAAGAATATTTGTCTTTTGGGATTGCTCGTGTTTTCGGCCTGGACCCTTTACAGATTGATCACTAATACAGGAAATATAGAGACTCAATCTAATTGCTTTATGGGTCCAGGCCGCGTACACTTGCAATTTCATCATGGAATTGAGAATTATCTGACACCTAAGTATGGCAAGAATATATGGTAATAGCCGATTCTCTTTTACTGTAACGCATGATGCGTTTTTACTATTTCACCATCCTTCCACACTTTTATAATGTTCATATGGTGCTTTTTCAATTCCGTCTATAATTTATGGTAGAGTCCGGTTTTATTAATGAAAAAACTAATCACCGCCACATTGACTTTCACGGCATCATCACATAACTGCCCAAAACAAACAAACAAATCATTAATCATAAGATGATGAAAAGACATTTTTATCTTCTATCACAACAAAATAGTTAATGACATCAACGTAATTTCACAAAACAAAATCTTGCTATTTTTTTTGTTTAAGCCTGATTTTCTCCTCTCTAATTTAAAAAATTAAAAAAAAAACCAAGGGTAAATTACATTTTACCGCCTCAGGTTTGGGATCGATTTCAATTTCTTACAACATCTTTAAAACATTTCACTTTCATACATTTACTTATCATTTTATTTCAATTTCAGACATCCGTTAGAAAATCTGTTAAGTAAACCGTTAAGTGATGATGTGGTAAATAAAGGTCCCTATTTGTACTGTCGTGACTGGCACATTTATGCCAAGTGGCTAAACACTTAATAAAAAAATTAAAAATTAAAATAATTAATTAAAAAAAGCCAAAACCCAGTTCGTCTTCCCCACCCGAGCACACTTCCAACCCAAAATCCCCCTCACGCTCACACTTCTCACCACCCTCACCGAAGCGCACACATCACACGTCGACCCTCCTCCACTCTCTTCACTCTCTCTTGAACCCTAAACCCCCCAAAATATTTACAAACTCTGGAGATTTAAGACAAAAAAATGTGTATTGTACAAAGATGAAATAGAAGAAAATGTAGTTTTCTCGTTTCCTCTGTTTTCTTGACAGCCAAATAGACGACTGCATACTTGTTTACGAAAATTCAAATTGCGGATGTCACATCCCAATCTCAACTCCACCGTAGCACAATATTGTCCGCTTTGGGCTTACTATTCCCTCAGGCTTCGTTTGGCAGCTCGGACTGTACTAACTATTTCTGTCGGATATGATAAATAGCCACCGGATAGTACTTACTAAATTAGTCCGGCGTTTGGTGCAATATCGGACAAATAACCGTATTATTTATACTGTGTTTGGTATTATACCGGATAGGAGGAATCAAACTTAAAATAAAATTTAAAAAAAAACTGAAATCCTCTCTTTTGTTCCCAAATCTCTCCGCCGCAAACCCCCCAAAATCCCTCCCTCTCTATCCTTTGTTCTTCTTCCCCGTCTGCTCCCTGAACGAACCCCACCACAAAGGCAGCAACAAGAAACCCAGCAAAACCCACCTTTCAAATTCTCATCGTTTTTTTTTTCCAATCCTTCTCTTTTTTTTTTTTTTTAGCTACAAATCAACCCAGCAAAAGTATTGAGGAGAGGAGGACTGGGTTCGCTTAGCTACAACCAGGTTCTTCTTCTTCTTTCTTCCCTGTATTCTTCTTCTTCTTCTTCAAATCTTTGAATTTCCCAATCCTTCTCTTTCTTCCCCATATTCTTCTTCTTCTTCTTCAAATTCCATTGCTTTTTTTTTTTAGTTTCTGCTTTGCAGGTTCGCCGTCAAAGGAATTGGGTTTTGGGATTTGTGGGAAGGAGGGGGAAGAAGAAAGGGAGGGGAAACGAAGAAGAAGATGTTCACCTCTGTTGACTGCGTGGTGGTGGGCGGTGGAATCAGTGGGCTCTGCATCGCTCAGGTGCTGGCTACCAAGCACGGCGACGTCGTTCCGATTGTCATAGTCACGGAGGCTAAGGACCATGTGGGAGGCAACATCATCACCGTCGAGAAGGACGGCTATGCTAGAGCAGAGACACGGCTGCGTCTGGAAAGGAAGGACCCGACTAAACTGTCCCGTGGTTTTGGAAAGGATAAACAAGCGGGTGTTTACCGTATAAAGTAGGTGGGACCGGATTGTTTAATCCGGTGGCTATTTAATACAATTGGACACCAAACACCGTACTCCGTATTATTAATATTATCCGATGTCTTATACAGTGTGCCAAACGGGGCCTCAAGGTTTTGTTTTTGGGTTTCGGCACGAGAACTTCCCAGGGGGATCACCCATCCTAGGAATGCTCTCACCCAATCTCGCTTAACCTCAGAGTTTCGATGGAATCCGAAGCCAGTGAGTTCCCAAAAGGCATCGTGTTATAGGGAGGGAAGCATGTACATATAAGGCACATCACACCCTCTTCGTTGGTCGATGTGACATCTTACAATCCACCCCACTTAAGGGGAACCCGGCGTCCTCACCAGCACAACCGCACCGACTTAAGGGGAACCCGGCGTCCTTGCCAGCACATCCGCACCGAACGATAGAATGGCTCTGATACCATTCTTTCACATCCTAGTCTCGACTCTGCCGTAGCACGATATTGTCCACTTTGGGCTTACCATTCCCTCACGGTTTTGTTTCTGGGAACTCAGACGAGAACTTTTCAGTGGGTCACCCATCCTAGGATTGCTTTCGCCCGAACTCACTTAACTTCGGAGTTCCGATAGAATCCGAAGCCAATGAGTTCCCAAAATGTCTCGTGCTATAGGGAGGGGAAGATGTACATATAAGGCACATCACCCCATCTCCCCATCTCCGTTGGTCGATGTGGGATCTTACAGCGAAAGTTTACAATCATATCAAAAACTTTTATTTTTGAAACTATTAATAACAGTACAATAATTTCACTCCCCACTTTTTCTCTCTAATTTTATAAAAAATAAAAAACCCTCTTTTCCTCACTCCCCACTTCCGTGTTCTCTCTCACTCTCTTCATCTCTTCTTTTATTTTAAGAATAAGAATAAAAAATTTCACACAATGTGTACATATACTAGTAATAATAATCATCAGTAGGGATGGGCAAATACCCATTGGTTATGGGTAACCGCGGTTACCCGTCTATTTAAATTAAACGGTTACGGTTATGGGTAACCGTTTAGATAAATAAACGGTTATGGGTATAACCGTTTACCCGCGAAATTTAAATGGGCGGTTATGGGTATTAACCACGGTTATAAACGGGTAACCGTTTACCCATTTATTTTATATATGTAAAATTAACACAAACCATATTCTCGATCCAATAATACTTAGCACCCAATAAATTAGCAAGGAATTCATCGGTCATTCTCTCAATAACACTACTACAGGAATGATGATTCTCATCATCAAGGAATTGGCCAAATTAATTTAAATTCCTTGCGGGTAACAGTGAAATTGACATAAATGCTTTGACAGAAATGTCTCTAAACAATTTTTGTAACCCAATAATACTTAGCAAATATTATATTTACCTTCATTGGTAATAGTTAAAAATATCGTACGTAAACTATTATTTCAATTATTGGAATGGTATAAGGACTTAAAAAATTAAAATATGGAAATGTACGATGAATGTACCTATAACGGTGTTTAATTGTCAAAAAAAAAAATTATGACAATTTTTAAAAAAATTTCAAGTTGTTAAAAATATGTAGACGGGTGAAAAAGGGTAATGGTAAAAAAAGAAAAGATAAACGGGTTAAAAAGGATAAATGGGTAAACGGGTATTAAACGGTTACGGTTAAATGGGTATGCGGTTATGGGTATGGTTAACCGTTTATAAACGGTTATGGGTATGGGTATAACCGTTTAAGCAATTACCCAACGGGTAAACGGTTATACGGGTATGAGCTTAAACGGTTATGGGTAAATTAACCGCGGTTACCCACCCACATAACCATTGCCCATCCCTAATCATCAGACACTGTCACCGACGTTTATGCTGACTAACCGGCTCTAAACCCACTCACATGAAAACCACCCCATGCGTGCATTCCACACGAAACTCTCTCCACCTAAAACGTTAAAACACTAATTAATTAATTAAACATACTTAGCATGATCCCAGCAGCTCCTAAGTTGAATTAGCACACACTACACGCAGAGAGAGTGAGTATACAAAAATAGATCCGATTTCATTTCACAGACCACACACAGAGAAGCTTCCACTTCCTTCTCAGATTCGAGATTTTGTAGAGTTGGGAATTAGGGATTTGAATTTATGATGCGGTGCTCTCCAGCTCCTGCTCTCCTTGCGTTTCTGCTCTGCGTTTTGAGCGCGGAGGCATCGGTCCACAAGTACGCCGCTGAGAGATTCGCCACCAAAGGCAGCGCCTTCGTCATCCACGGCGGCAGCGAGGGAATTTACTCTTCTTCCCCTGCTCAGTCCGCCTCCGACTCTGTCAACGGCGACTCTTTCATACGGTAAAGTACATCATAGAATTCCATTTCCCCATTTCACTCTCTTTACTTCTCCAGTTTTAACTTGCAATCGGCTAAGATCTGATGCACAATTGAGTTCATTTGAGTATTTGATTTATTGGGTTCGCAAATTACTTGGTTAGTAGAAAGTCAACAGCTTTTTTACTGGGACTATTCAAAGTGATTAACCCAATTCATGTGTTATTGTTGCACCCTGTTTGTACAAAACCATTATCTGATTTGCTTTTGTAATTCGAAACCAGCTTCGAAAAGGTTACGTTTCGGAGGAGCAGAGAATCTGCAAACCTGAGCTCATGGCCAGTCCATGCCATTGTTTTTGAGGTGGAAGATAGAGAGACCATTGGGGGTTCAGCTTATGGCGGTCAAAGAGCAGTATGTTGCTCAGGGGATCTGGCAAAATTGGGGGTGTGTGCACAAGGAGAGATCATTCACCGCCAGTCGACTGAGAATCCAGGTTGGCCCCAGGTTTTTGGTGTCTCATTTGAAGAACATGAGGAAGTTGCTACATTGCCGTCCAAATCCATACCGATTACGAA